CAAAACTTTGGACTACCAAATAGCCCTACTAACTATAAACAATAACGCACCATACGCATGTTTTTGGAACCCCAGGCCCCCCTAAAACTAAGTAACCAACCACCACATCATAACAAAAAAATAATAATATTAATAAATAGATATATATATAGGAAAAAAGGGGCAGCACTTTCACAAAAATGAAGAACCCCCCCCTCCCTTTTTGTTTCTTCCCTTTTTCTCCTTTCCTTTTTTTCTTTCTTTTTTTCTGTTTTTTCTCGCTGACCTTTTTTCGCTTCCGCACATGACCCATGTAACGACGAAAATGTAAAGCGACAACATGAAGCAACACACGTTTCCCACACCCTGCGCCATGACAAAGCATCACCAATCGCCTCCACAATGCGATACCACTGTAGCTGCAGCCGCTGAAAAAAAAAAAAACACTACAACAAGAATTTCACAAAAGCATACATGCTTACCAACCACTCCTCACCTACAAGAAAACATCCCGCTGAGCCTGCACACAGCAATCACCGCATCAACACCATCAAAACGACATCCTAGCCGCAGATGATGAGGTATGATAAAAAAACAAACAGGTACACACGCCCCAAAACTGAAACGAAGCAAACAAAACTACACCAAAAAACCTGCAGAAGTGATATGTACACACACCCGCAGACACACACCTCATCCACTTCACTCCAACCTCTGCCCTCAGGCCTGACGAAAAACATACACGCTCTGCCTCCACGATAGACAAAAAATCCCCCCAGCTAAAACCTCTAACCAAAGCGCACATAGGAATAAGCACCCCCCCAAAAAAAACGCCCTCTCCACCATCTGCTACGCACGTGACAAACGCAAAAAAAAAATGACACCTAAGAACGAGCCACTCCACGTAACTCTTACAACCCACTCCGCCATAGCCGCGCATCACGACAAAAGCTGGTCTACCACACACAATGTCCCGCCTCCACCCCGTACCCCATCCAACATGCCATCACCACCACCTACCAAGTACGAACATAGACCCCTGAGTAAGTTACCACTTCCACCAACTAACCCCTCAACCTGCTCTTCCACGCCCACCCACCAACCCAAACATGTCGTTTCCCGGTGACCCTCCCGGCACCCCCAAACTTGACCCTCTCATACCCCCACCCACCACCGCCCCTACCCGCACTTACCTCCGGTCACCTACCTTCCAAATCCCCCCCGCTCACTACTTAATCATACGACCAACAGATCAGGATCCTTAGAACTCGGCTCAAGCGGATTCGATCCCACGCATCCCTCTGGTCTCATCAACTCTCTACTACGCCAATCCCCCGTCTCCTTCTCCTCCCTCCCTGCCTCCTTCTACTTCAATTCATCTCCTTCCTCTCTGCTCCCTCCTCTCTACTTCCTCCATCCTACTCCACACACAGTGCCCTTATGAGGAGTCTTACCCACCATAGCCTGCTTCGGGTGTTGGACATTGCCTCCCGGTGCTCCTGCCTCCCTGGTGGAAGCGCACGCTACATAGCGATCCTATACCTGGTCGGCATAGATAGTCCCTTGATTTGACGTTCCATGCGATCACTGGCGATCTCCTGAAGAATTGAACGACGGCGCGTTGAATGGACTGCATCCCTGACAACAACATCGAGGAACACATGGTACGCTCAATGCCCTTGAACTTTCTCTATGTATCATCGATTCAATCTCCTTTCGTACACCCGTCCTTCTGGGAGCAAGAGGACTACCACCCTTTGATGAGTCGTGACCGGCGCAAGTGGCGAAAAGCGCTTTAGGGGATGCGCCACCCCTCCTCCTTTGACAAAATGGCCAATGTATGATGGTCATACCTCCTCCTCCTCCTTTCTTCCCGCTCTTCTCTTTCCTTGTCTCTATATTGGCTGTAGGAAGAAGAATATGGCATATCCATAAGAGGTTGATGCGTACATACAGTGGAGCGAGCATGATTGAGGATGAGACCAGGTAAGGATTCTCGTACTTTGGGTTGCTATGGTAGTATAATGCTTGTACACACACACACACACACACATGCAAACATTCACACACATACACACATACACACATACACACATACACACACACACACACGCGCACACACATACACACACACACTAATCCTCATTGCACAATAACAATACTATATTTTATATATTTTTTCCCTTCCTCGATTTTTTCCTTATTACGTAACAAAAAAAAAACAAAAAATACATAAAATTGATGAAGACAAAAAACCATGGCTACGCCGGACCCGGACCTGGACATTTTTGGACATCAAACCAGACACGTGTCCGGCTGTTTCCGGACGTCCAGACGTCCGGACTTCCGGACATTTGCGGACCTCCGGACATTGGACGATCCGGACGGTCCAGATTTTTTTTTTTTTCGCAAGTCCTGGACTCCTGGTGTCTTTTAATAACTTGATATATTTGGCATCGCGACTTACATAAAACTTAAGCAACTTCAAGGTTCAATAATAGATGAAGCTGATCAACTGCCAAAAAAAAAAAAAAAAAAAAAATCAATAAAAGAAACAAACTTCAAAAACATGTTTGGCATGCTGGCTTACATACCTCCAAGCCACTTCGGCGTGGTGCCTACAACCGTATAGTTCAACAAGTGACAACAACATACAAACAGAACTACAAAAACATTCAAAAACATCACGTCTCACAAAACTGCAGAGAACAGTCCCAAAGACGTCCATACTCCATAGCAAAATGTGTTCACATTACTCTCTCTCTCTCTCTCTCTCTCTCTCTCTCTCTCTCTCTCTCTCTCTCTCTCTCTCTCTCTCTCTCTCTCTCTNCTCTCTCTCTCTCTCTCTCTCTCTCTCTCTCTCTCTCTCTCTCTCTCTCTCTCTCTCTCTCTACTCTCTGCGCTTTTTTTTAGCAAGGGGCTCATCTTCAGAATCAGCGCCGATGATTCAGAAGATTCTTTTGTGCTCCAATCCTCCCCTTCTTTCAATCTTTCCTCGTCTTCGACTTCGGTGCTGCTCTTCTGAGATGATTCCGCCTCTTCCCCAGTCTCCCTTGCCTCCACCTGCACCTCCTCTTCCCGCAACACCTTCCTTGGTCGCCCCTTGGGTCTTTTTTCAGGCCCCTTTGCTGCAACCTCGAGACCAGCATCCTGTTTGCGCCCCCGCTCGGATGCCTTTGCATCTCCGGCCGCCTGCTCCTCGTCTGCCTCCGTGCCCTGCACATGTGCCACCTTACGTGATCGCCTCGAAGGCGTCTTTGCAGGCGCCTTCACATTGGGTGCGCACGCTTGAGCTCTTGCATTGATATACTTCTCAGCGTGCTCGGATGCCATAGTCTTGCCTTCATGTTGAGATTCCTCCAAATGCAAGCGGGCGAGGTACTTGGAAGGCCGTATGGCCTTCCTCCATGAAGGTAGCTCCTTGTTCAACTCCCTTTCGAGCTCAAGTAAGTTGCTGGTGGCCCGCTGGCGTGCAATGGTGCTTGCCTTGGCCCCGTTGTCATGGGCGCCATCATCGTCGTTGTCATCTTCATCCTCACAATCCTCCGCCTACTCCCTATCGCCACACAACTTGGCTCTCCACTCTTGCACCCTCTTCTTTGCATCCTCGCACAATTGCTCCGCCGTCAAGCCCCCGACCCCATCCCTCCAAGGCTTCTTCTTCGGGTCTTCCTTTTCAACCGGCTTCTTCTCAAGCTTGTCCAGCAGATGCTGGTTCCATCTGTTATATACCAATCTGCTCAATTGTGCGACGGCAAGGCTGTTGCGCGGTTTGGAGTGAATCCTTTCAAAAAGACTCCAATTCCGCTCACACCCGGAGGCAGACGACCCCTGTCCAAGCAAACGGATTGCCTGGCGTTGCAAGTTCGGCAACTCAGTGCACCACTTTCTCCACCATCTGGCTGGTTGGCCGCTATCCACCTCTGCAAGTGCCCTCTCGCTTCTGAACTTGCCCGTCCCTTCAATCCAGCAATTCACCTCGTCGTCCAACTCCTTGTACGCCGTTGGTTTCGCCCAAGAGTACACCCATGTCCAAAAACCATCCATCACCTTAGGGTCCTTTTCCAAGCTCGAGTCCTTGAACTCGGATCAAGGAACACTGTTGCGCAATCCAGCGGAGAAGTCATAGTGTTCCACCTCCGCATTATGATCTCCTCGAGCTCTTCCCTCTCCATTTTTGTGAAGCACTCCTCGCTGCGTAAGCTCTCCACAGCCGCGTCCATGCTGCCGTAGATTTTGCTGATCGTCCGTCCAACTCCGTCGCTCAACTTCAAGAGTTGAAGTAGTTTCTCGGACGTCTTCTGCACCTTCTCAACTCCTGCCCAAAAATCATTGTCGAGGATGGTCTCCATCGTAGCAGCAAACAAATGTCGCTGCCCGAGAAGCACGATGCTATCCTTCCAGTCCTTGTTCGTCAAACACATTCGCAGCGGCAGGTACAAGTCCTGCACGTTGTCCAACATGATGAAATTCGTGGCGAATCGGGTCGCTCCTGGCCTTGCGAGAATCGCTCCATGGGAATTGACGAGGAGCAAGTCCCGCACCCTCGAGTGGTTCATAAAAAACTTCACTACCTCCGTTGACTTCTTCAGAATGACGTCCACCCACCCTATCTTCCCGAACTGCTCGAGCATCAGGTCAACGCTGTGCGCTGTGCACGACGCTGAAACGAATGTGTTTGAACTCTGCCTCAACCATCCGCCCTGCAGCTGCACAAGTCGCTGCATTGTCCATCACCACCCCCACTACTGCCTCCTCCCCGATCTCACGGATAGCCTTCGACAAAATGTCGAAGTATGCCTTCGCCCCCTTCTCTCGGCGCTGCATACAAACAGCCCGCCAAAAGACGACGCCTTTGGGGAAGGAGACCATCACATTTATGAATGGTCTTCCTCATCGATCAGTCCACTCATCGAGTTGCAACATGCAACCGCTGACGGGCCATTCCTTGCGCAGCTGCTCCATCCTCTCGAACACCCACTTCCGCGTGACAGCCACCCTTTTCGTTCGCACCTCGTCGAATTTGGCGTACTGGAAGGACTTCGGCGCGTTCATCAGCGCCTTCACCATGTGATCCCAATACATGCTCCGCATCATGTTGAAGGGCACACACCCAGCTGTCATCCAATCGTCGACTGTATGCTGGGTTTCCTCATTCCCAGTGATGATAGTTGCGCTGTCAACGATTTTCGTTTGCTTGCCGTGCGTCGTCGAGGACTTGGTGAGAGCAACAGTGGTGATTGCATCCTCCGTGTCGATTTCATCCTCGCTCGAAGACAAATCAAGCTCAACACCAGCTCCGGTAAGTGCACCTCCAAGCTCTGCAATGGCAACATCTCTTCCTTGCTCCCTCCGTAGCAATTCGTCCTTGCTGATTGTCCCTCTCAGAAGTGTGACATTGCAGACACATTTCAGGAAATGATCCCTCAGGCGGGAGGCACTCCCGGTTCTGGTTGCAAAACTTGCATCTCCACACATTGTTTCCCTTATGAGCTGCCCCAGATGCTTTCACAGCCTCGAAGTGCTTCTTCACCGCTTGTGCTGCATGCTTAGTCATGATGGTGCATCACACATGATGTTAAAAAAACAGTAGCCACTGGAGTCAGAGTCTGAAACTCGGAGTCATCCCTGTCCTCCCCCCCCTACCCTCGACAGCCATTCACTCTCTATCGCCCTCCGACCCTCAATCAGATTGATTGATTGACTTACTGATAGATTGACTAACTGATTGATTGACTCACTGGTTGATTGACAACATTTATGACTTATTGATACGGAGAAAAAAAAACGGACAGCATTTTCACGTCCCCTGTGGGTTCAGAATGCCATAATTTATAAAATAATTCCATACGGGGGCTGGAGCCGCCGGGCAGCAACAAACGAACGCCCCCAAAAAATCGGACAGCATTTTGCCACCCCCCATGGGGCCAGAATGTGAAACCTCCAAAATAATTTCATATGGGGGCTGGGCATCAACAAACGAGCGTCCCCCAAAGAAATCGGACAGCGTTTCACTCTCCATTGAGATCACAAAGTCGAATAATCCAATTTTTTTCAATGCCCACCACCCACGTCAAACTCGGGTGCGATTGATTGATTGATTGATGGATGGATGGATGGATGGATGATGGATTGGTCGTTTGATGATTGGTCATTTGATGATTGATGGATGGATGGATGGA